CATAGTCCAGCCTTGAGGTGACAAAGGCGTGAACCAGGGTTTCAGCAGCGTGAGGGGTGAGGTAGTGCCGTAGTCTGGCGATATTCCGGAGGTGATGGAAGGCGGTGCCAGTTGTGGTGCGGATGTGAGGGAGAAAGGACAGCTCAGGGTCGAACAAAACGCCGAGGTTCCTGACTGGCTTTGAGAGGTGGAGAGTGCAGCCTTGGATGCTGATGGTGTCAGCGCCTGAGGTGCGGAGGCGCTGACGTGAGCCAATCAGGAGGGCCTCGGTTTTTCGCACGTTGAGCTGAAGAAAGTTGTCTCTCGTCCAGGACTCGATGTCGGACAGGCAGCTGTCAGGACATCGGTGGTCGTGGAGTTGAGAGTAGAGGAGGAAAGGTAGAGTTGGGTGTCATCCGCATACATGTGGAAGTTAACCCCATGTTTGCGGATGATGTCACCGAGGGGGAGCATATAGAGGGTGAAGAGGAGGGGACCGAGGACAGAGCCCTGAGGGACACCACATGAGACAGTACGGGGGGTGGAGGAGAAGCCATTCGTTGAGACGAAGTGAAGACGGTGGGAAAGGTAAGAGCTAAACCATTCAAGGACAGTGCCTTGAAGGTTGAGGTGGGAGGACAAGCGGTGGAGTAGGATAGCGTGGTCGACCGTATCGAATGCTGCCGATAGGTCAAGGAGGACGATATAAAGAGATCATGTATGAGGGTTTCGGCGGCCTGCCGCGTGAGACAGTATCGGAGCCGGACGCCATTCTTGGGGTGGGGGAATAAAGCATGGCGCAGATGTTGGATAGAAAGATATTTGAGGGTCAAACAAGACCCCAAGGTTGCGGACTGGCCTGGAAAGGTGGAGTGTGCCTCCATGGATGGTGATACTGTCAGCGCCTGAGTTGAGGAGATGCTGATGGAAGCCAATCACTTGGGCCACGTCTTGTTGTCATTGAACTGAAGAAAGTTAACTCTCATTCAGGATTTGATTCCTGACAGGTATTCAGTGAGGACAATAGTGTAGTGGCAAAGTGTAGTTACTGTTTTTTTGTGGGAGAGACAGAGAAAAAGAGACTGAGAGACCAAGTGGGAGAGAGAGGCAGAGAGGGAGACTGTGAGAGTAAATATGCTATAATGTGCAGGGACTGTGTGTTTTGTTGGTGAGACTGAGAGAGAACCTGATAGAGAGAGAGAATGAGATAAAGTCTGAGAGAGACAGTGAGGTAGAATATGTTTAATATATTAATATTTTATATATTAAAGTGACAGAGAGAGAGTAGGAAAGAGTGACTGGCAGAGAGAAAGAGATAGAGACAGACAGACAGACAGACAGAGAGAGAGACTGAGAAAGAGACTGCGAGTGAAAATATATTAGAGAGAAAGAGAGAGAGAGAGAGAGATACTGAGACTCAGACAGAGACTGTGAGAGAACATACATTATTAAGCTCCGGGATCCATTACTGTGCATAGCTCTCAGACGCCGTCTGGCGTGGAGGGCGCTGTATAAATCCAAGTTGTTGTTGTTGTTGTAGTGACTGTGTGTTTTATGGGAGAGTGAGAGAACGAGAGACTGAGAGAGATACAGACTGAGAGAGATAGAGACTGAGAGAGATAGAGAGAAAGACTGAGGGAGAGACTGAGAGACATAGAGACACAATACATATTGGGAGAGTTCGAGAGAGACTGAGAGAGAAGGGAATAGAGAGCGCGACTGTAAGAGAATAAATTATAAAGTGTAGTGATTGTGGGTGAGACACAGAGAGAAACAGAGAGAGACAGAGGGAGAAAATGAATAATAGAGATTAGGAGAGAGAGTGACTGCGAGAGAAGAGAAAGAGACAGAGAGAAAGAGTGGAACTGAGAGAAATAAAGAAAGACAGAGGAACCGAGAGAAATAGAGAAACTGAGAGGGAGTGTGAGAGAAAATATATTATCAAGTGCAGTGGCTATGTGTTTCGTGGGAGATACAGAAGGAGAGAGACGAGGAGCGATAGACTGACAAAGAGTCAGAAAGAGAGAGACAGAGAGAGAGAGATTGAGAGAGAGAGACTATGAGAGGCGGAATAGGATAGAGTGAGACAGCGAGGAAGAAACAGACAGAAAGAGAGACTGACAGAGATGATGAGAGTGAGAGACTGATAGCACGGGGGTAGGTGACAATAACCGTGCCCAGGGCAGGGATGGCAGAGGAATCAGGATTAACACATTTAATAATCAATCACTACATTGTCCAGAATATATTCCATATTACACAGACTGCGTGGACATCGCTGCCTCAGGCAGTGTCACACCGATAACGTCAGCCCAGCTCTGATTCCTTGTCGTGACGCCAGCTTATTCCGTCTGTCTGAACTGAACTTATTCCACCTCAGCCTGAAATATATTAAACAGGAAATAAACTCACGAGATAACGATACAAACTGTAAAATGTTCATGATGCAGTTTAATAAATAAATAAACACATAAATCCCTTCAAATTGTTTCCATTCAGATACACAGCCCTTTCTCTGTGTGTTTATGACATTAAACACTGACACAAACACTCACCCGATCCCCTCCAGACTGGTGCAGGTCTGTATGAGGCGGCGGAGAGCGGAGACAGAGCCGTCTGTGAAGGAGTTAGACCTCAGGTCCAGGAACCTCAGTGAGCGGTTTGTACTGAGAGCGGAGACCAAATCATCAGTGCAGCCATCGGTCAGTCTGTTACTGTACAGCCTTGAGATCAGAGACACAGAGACATGACAGGGATCAGAGTAAACACAGTGGGTATAACCCACTGTCACTCACTACAGGCCGTCACCCACGGAAGGAAGAGGCGTTAGAGGAGTGAGGGGAAGGGACCGTGGGATGGAGTCCCAGAGTGTGGGGCAGAGAGGCTGAAAGCCCGGACACCGATGGGAGGGCGGGTCGGGCGGGAGACATGGAGCAGCCCAGAGCCCACTGGACGGAGGGAGCGGGCAGGTTGGTAGGGAGTCAGCAGGTCAGAGAGGGGAGGAGGGAGCAAGGAAATGGATGGCCTTCAAGTTGAGGAAGAAGATCTTGAACTCGATCCTCAGGCGGATGGGGAGCCAATGATGTCGGGCGAGGGTTGGAGTGATGGGGTCGGGCGAGGGTGGGAATGGTGGGGTCGAGCAAGGGTGGGAGTGATGGGTTCGGGCGAGCGTGGGAATAATGGGGACGGGAGAGGTTGGGAGTGATGGGGTCGGGCGACGATGTGAGTGATGGGGTCGGGGAGCCTGGTGTGTGAGAGTACACGAGCTGCAGAGTTTGGATGATCTGCAGCTGTGAAGGGAAGAGTTGGGAACACACACACAATCGCACACACTCACAGGAACATACACAAACGCACACAACAACAACAACAACAAGATTACATATGTATAGCGACTTTCACATCGGGAGGACATCTCAAGCGCTGACACACACACACACACACAAACTCTCACAAACGCGCACACAAACACAAAGCGACACATATACATTAGCATACACACAAACAACAACAACAAGATTTCATTTATAGCGCCTTTAACGTCAGGAGGACGTCCCAAGGCGCTGGACAGTTGGGTCAGGACCCGAGCAGGGGGGGGAGGGGGGAAATGGTCAGGGTGAGGGGAGCGAAGGGAGGCAGCGAGGAGTGGGTAGAGAGTCGAAAGTGGAGCTGAAGGTTCGGCCAAAGAGAAAGGTCTTGAGACCGGCCTTGAAGGAGGAAAGGGAGGAGGCGGCGAAGGCACTGGGGATAGAGTTCCAGAGCCTCGGGGCTGAGAGGCTGAAGGCCACCGATGGTCGGGCAGTTGGGGCGGGGGATGTGGAGCAGACCGGAGCCGGAGGAACGGAGGGTACGGGCAGGTAGGTACTGGGACAGTAGGTCGGAGAGGTAGGAGGGAGCGAGGCCGCGAATGGCCTTGTAGGTGAGGACGAGGGTCTTGAATTCGTTCCTCTGGGAGATGGGGAGCCAGTGGAGGGGAGCGAGGGTGAGGGCGAGGGCGAGGGTGGGAGTGATGTGGTCGCGGTGTCTGGTCCGGGACAGTACACGAGCAGCAGAGTCCTGAATGACCTGCAGTGTGGAGGGCAGTGCCGGGAAGGCCGCGAGGAGAGAGTTCCCATAGTCCGGCCTTGAGGTGATAAAGGTGTGGACCAGAGTTTCAGCCGCGTGAGGGGTGGGGTAGTGCCGTGTTTCGGAGGTGATGAAAGTTACGGTCAATTCACTTTACAGTCTATTCTGTGAAGCGCTTTGGGACGTCGAGAAGACGTGAAAAGCGCTATATCAATGCGAGGATTATTATTATTATCATCATCATCACATCTTCGAGGCGTCTCAAAGCGCTTCACAGAATACACCGTAAAGCGAATTGACCGTATATTTGGGGCCAAACGCGGCGGCCAATCGCACGCGACGGTGACCCACACACACGGCCGCGGGGTTTTGAAGGGAACGAATGGTCACTGAAGGGCTCGAGGACCCGAAACGTCGACGCAAATTACAATTGCGATTATTTTTTTTTAAAAAAAGAATCTGAAGGGATCGTTAACCCCTGAAAAGGGATCCGCCGATCGCCTGCACCGCAGATTCCCATTGGCTGCTGGAGAGCAGAGGCTGAGGGCGGAGTCAGGAAAGCGGCTCAACGGCCGTCCCGGTCAGGAACCGAACCCCGGTCTCGCTGTCGCCCTGACCCAGGCTCCAGGCTGACACGCGGGGCGAGTGACGTGCACGTCAGCCAATCAGAGCACGGAGCGGCGAGCGATCGCCTCGTCCATCCAATAGGAAGCTGAGGCTGAGAAGGCGGGTGTTATACAACAGCCAATGGCAGTGCGAGCGGGGGGAGGGGGATGGAGCGGGTAATGACCGAGTGGGGATCTGATTGACAGCCTAACTGACCAATGGAAAGCTGGAGCGGGTGTGAAGCAACCAGTAAGGTGCGAGTGGGCGGGACAGAGGGTGACGGTTGGAGAAAGCGCGCGAGAGGCGGGGCGGAGGGAAGATGATTGACGTGGACACGGACTCGTCAAGAGCGGCACGTGATTGACATCTCGGTTGACCATTGGGAAGCTCTGACGTTGGGGGCGGGAGCTGAACAGGACCAATGAGGAGCGAGTGGGCGGAGACAGAGTGACGGTTGGAGAAACACAAACATGGCCGAGTCACTGAGATCCAGAGTCACCGATCAGGTCCGTGACCGACAGACAGAGAGGGAGAGAGAGAGAGTGTGAGAGAGAGAGAGAGAGAGAGAGATTGAGAGAGTGAGAGAAAGAGTGTGTGAGAGAGAGAGTGTGAGGGAGTGAGAGAGTGTGTGTGAGAGAGTGTGTGTGAGAGACTGAGTGTGAGAGAGTGTGAGAGTGTGAGGGAGGGAGAGAGTGTGAGGGAGTGAGAGAGTGTGTGTGAGAGACTGAGTGTGAGAGAGAGAGAGTGAGTCACAGATAGAGTGTGAGAGGGAGAGAGTGTGTATGAGAGAGAGAGTGAGAGAGAGTGTGAGAGAGAGTGGGAGAGAGAGAGAGAGAGAGAGAGTGAGAGAGTGTGTGAGTGAGAGAGTGAGTGTGAGAGAGAGAGTGAGTCACAGATAGAGTGTGAGAGAGAGTGTGTGTGAGAGAGTGAGAGAGAGAGTGTGTGTGAGAGAGAGAGGGGGAGTGTGAGACAGAGTGAGAGAGAGAGAGTGTGTGAGAGAGTGAAAGAGCGTGTGAGAGCGTATGAGTGTGAGAGAGAGTGTGGAGAGAGAGAGTGAGACACAGATAGAGTGTGAGAGGGAGAAAGAGTGTGTGTGAGAGAGAGTGAGCGAGAGAGTCTGTGTGAGAGAGTGTGTGAGAGAGAGTGTGAGAGAGAGACAGAGAGAGGGGGTGTGAGAGTGCGTATGAGTGTGAGTGAGTGTGTGTGAGTGAGAGTGCGTGTGAGTGAGAGTATGTGAGTGTGAGAGACAGTATGTGAGTGTGTGAGAATATGTGAGTGTGTGAGAGTGTGTGAGTGTTTGAGAGTGTCCATGTGCGAGTGTGAATGTGTGAGAGAGTGTGAGTGTATGAGAGAGTGTAAGTGTGTGAGAGTGTGTGTGCGCGTGAGAGTGTGTGCCCGCGTGAGAGTGTGTGTGCGCGTGAGAGTGTGAGTGTCCATGAGAGTGTGTGAGTGTGCGTGAGTGAGAGAGTGCGCATGTGGGGGAAAATGTGTGTGTGAGAAACGTGTGTGGGAGGGAGCGCGCGGGTGCAGGAGGGAGCGCGCGGGTGCAGGAGGGAGCGCGCGGGTGCAGGAGGGAGCGCGCGGGTGCAGGAGGGAGCGCGCGGATGCAGGAGGGAGCGCGCGGGTGCAGGAGGGAGCGCGCGGGTGCAGGAGGGAGCGCGCGGGTGCAGGAGGGAGCGCGCGGGTGCAGGAGGGAGCGCGCGGATGCAGGAGGGAGCGCGCGGTGCAGGAGGGAGCGCGCGGATGCAGGAGGGAGCGCGCGGGTGCAGGAGGAGCGCGCGGGTGCAGGAGGGAGCGCGGGGTGCAGGAGGGAGCGCGCGGGTGCAGGAGGGAGCGCGCGGATGCAGGAGGGAGCGCGCGGGTGCAGGAGGGAGCGCGCGGGTGCAGGAGGGAGCGCGCGGGTGCAGGAGGGAGCGCGCGGGTGCAGGAGGGAGCGCGCGGGTGCAGGAGGGAGCGCGCGGGTGCAGGAGGGAGCGCGCGGATGCAGGAGGGAGCGCGCGCCTGTGAGTATAGGAGAGCGCGGTAGAGAGTGTGGGAGAGAGAGAGAGAGAGAGAGAAAGCCAAAGGGAATGGAGGATAGAGTTCACGGGGACCCAGAGGCCCGGCTCCTGATGGTGGTTGGGCTCCAGGTGGGGTACGTGGAGCAGCGGGAACTGCTGGACGGAGGGAGCGGACCGGTTGATGTCGGGTCAGCAGGTCCCAGAGGTCGCAGGGCACTGCCATGGAGGGTATTAAGGCGAGGACAAGCATTTGGACCTCTATCCTCTGGGGGTCGGGGAGCCAGTGGAGGGCGAGGGTGGGGTTCGGGGGCACGGAGCCGGGTGCAGGAGAGGTTTGGCCGCTTGTGGAGGGAAGAGTTGTGAAGGCCGACAAGCAGGGAGTTGGCATGGTCCAGCCCGGATGTGATGAAACCCCTCTCAATCCCCCTCTATCCTCCTCACATCAAACAGCAAGTGCCACAGAGAGGTCGAGTTGGGTGTCATCCGCAAACTATCCGATCTGAATCCATCTCATTTACATCCCATAGTGATCTGATACTTGTGTCCCCGGTTACGGGTTTCCCAACAAGTAGGAACAGCCTATCTGTGCTGACCTTATGAAACCATTTTATAATTTTAAACCCCTCTATTAGGTCCCCTCTTGAATATCTTTTCTCAGTGAAGAAAGGCCTAATCTGTCCGTCCGGTCTGTCCTGAACGCTGTGATCCGTCCCTCCGGCTTCATCAGGGAGATGTGCTTTTCACATCAGGAGGAATGCTCCACCTGCGCAGCTAAATGGGACCTCCTCCGAAGGGCGGCAGCTCACCCCCAGCATTGCATTGCAGTGTCAGCTCCTGACGTGGAGCTTGAACCCCCCCCCAACCTTGTGGCACAGACGCGAGAGTGGGACAGACCGATCCAGACTGACACACACTTATTATGTTCTTCCCTGTTCTTACGTTCTGTATTTCAGAGCAAAAAGGAGAGCTCACCCATCCCGTCAGGATCAGCTGAGGATGGAGGTGACTCCAAAAGAGTCGTGACTGAAGCAACAGGTTCAGCAAATGAAGAGAGCGTTCTGGGCAAAAGAGGAGGATTCTCAGTTGGTGAAAATAAACATCTCAAAATATCTAAGAAAGGTATTCTTCCTGGAAAAAGCGACACAGAAACTGTGAGCTCAGAAAATGTGTCTTTCTGACCATGTCAAAGATCACTCGTGTAGACAAGCAGTGGCGGGAACAAAATAAGGAACACAGACTAAGCTAAGCCACTGCAACCACAACTTTACATTTTTAAAGCGACTTTCCCATTGGGAGGACACGCCCAGTGATCATAAATTATACATTTATATTGATCATCATAAAGGTGACCAAGCGGAAATCAAACCTTGAAGGATGAGTAAAAATCTCAGGAAAAGAGAGAAGGTCCAATAATAATAATAATAATCCTTGCATTTGATATAGCGCTTTTCACGTCGGGAGGACGTCCCAAAGCAGTTCACAGAACACACTGTAAAGTGAATTGACTATATTTGTGGGCGAACGCAGCAGCCAATTGCGCACAGCAATGTCCCACAAACAGTTGTAGATTGAAAATGACCAATTTATTATTGTTTTTGGTTTCGGAGGGATTATTATAAGGCTCTGTGTGGAGTAAGGAAACTTGCCCAAGATTTCGCCCTGTGCCTGGAATTGAACTCAGGTCTCTCGCTTGCAAAGCGAGTGCTCTAACCACTGAGTCACAATTTCACAATTAAATGAAATTGAAGAACAAAGAACAGCACAGCTCCACTCATTGCTGGAAAGACTGTAACAGTGCACCAAAATGAGTTGCACATTCAAACAACAGCAAGTCCAGAATGAGTCCTCCCACAAGGGTCCTCCCAGATGCGTATAGATACGGATGAATGTCTGTCTGTGTCTCTTTGTGTCCGTCTACACTCCATATTGGATGCTTTGGCTGCAAGCGAAGCTGCAGTTGGTACAGTCAGTATTTCATAAAGGACAATACAGCATTTCCCCTCAGCTCCGACACTGGAGTCTCAGTCTTGACTGTGAGTTCAGTTAACACTGAACTGAATTGTCCAAAAATGTTACACCATCTTTATTTGTGGAATAATGGCCAAGAGTTGTGAGAACTTTCATGTCTCTGTGTACACTATGGTTCTCAATGCTGCTCCTTTTTTAAAATTTACTTCACAGGAGGCCGAACCGGAAAGATTTTGAGCTCAAAACACAACCAAGCGAGTGGAGGAGAGGCCGAGAGCAGCAGATACTGTTTGAGAAAGAAGGAGAAAAGAAATTGCACTGACGAAAGGGATCTTCCTGAGGATGACTACCTGTGTATGTAACAAATCAATCTGAGTTTCTCAGCATAACATGCTCCAGTGCAGAATCGGGCAGATGTCAGCCTGGCTCAGTTGGTTGCCCTCTACTCAATACAGTACAGATTTACATTGACAGAGTGCCTTTTGTTAAGAGGATGTCTCAATGTGATGGACTATTGTGGCTTAGGGTAGAAGCCAAGAGAAGTGGGGAAGGAAGTAAGGTCAAAGAGGAAGGAGCGAGTCACAGGAACTCCGGAAGAAAGAGACTGAATCGTACTCTGTTTAACCTGCAAGCCAAAGCATATGCATGACGTATCCCTCCTGGAGCTTTGAGAAATTTGACATTATTGGCGTTATTAAAAACAATAATTTATTATTGTTGTATTCCAACGGTTGTGATCACACATTGAAAGTTTCACTCCATCGTGAGAGGTTACTTTGCAGTTAAATGTTTGTCACTTTCATGAGAAGTTCCTGTGAATGCTGAAATGGACATTTTCAGTGTTCCAAGTGTTAGTCTGGACTCAGTCAGCTCCATGCTCGCTTCTGCGGTTTGGCTCAAGGCACATGTCAGGACTATGAGCTCATAGTCTATTCTACTCAAGTCAAGTTACTGGGGAAAGAGCTTTACATTGTCATGAGCCCCGAGCTTTAAGCTAAAGTCCCCCTCTATATCTCTTCAGACAAATATGATAGATCCTAGGGATATTGGAAATTTTATATAGCATCTTATCACATCATCAAGACATCCAAAAGTGGTTACTGTAAAGTGCGGTGACTCCAACAGCCAATTTACACACAGCTATATCTCCCAAATAGCTAAGAACGAATTGACCAATTTTATTGGGATATCTGTGTTCAGATCTGGATAGTGGAAGCAGATTTGATAACAACTTTCAAGAGAGAAGTGGATGCATATTTGGGGAGGACAAATTTGCAAAGCTATGTTGAGATAATAATAATAATAGTAATCCTTTCTTTTGATATAGCACTTTTCAAGCTTTCTAGACGTCTCAAAGCGCTTAACAGAATATTCTGTAAAGTGAATTGACCGTATATTTGTGGGCAAATCGCGGCAGCCAATTGCGCACAACAGTGTCCCACAAACAGTCGTGGATTGAAAATGACCAATGTATTATTGTTCTTTGTTTTGGAGGGATAACGGGGGAGTGGGATTAATTTGAACATACCTTTCAAGAGAAGGCATGGGCCTGGTGTGCTGAATGGCCTCCTTCTGTGCTGTATAAGTACCTGATTTTACATTATCAGCCACGACATTGTGGGTAAGAGAATAAAAGAGAAAAACTCTCTTCTCTTTAGAAATCGTGATGTGGGATGTTTAACATCCACCTGAACAGGCCTGGCCAGGGATCTCGGTTTAACATTTCATCTAAAGGACAGTACCTCCGACAACACAACATATTCCCAGCATTAAAATGATTAGTGTAGATGACGACTGGCCAGGAAACTGGGAGAAACTGACCAGAACATTTCAGAGTAATTACTATCCATCAGTTAGAGTGTTTTGACTTGATCATGTACTGTACAAATGCCAGGACCAATTCAGGATTGGTCAAACAGCAATTCCAAAAGGAAACTCTCATAAGTTGCTGACACAGATCTTTTCTCCCATCAGCTCCCAAAGTGGATGATCCTGAGTCTCACTCTCGCCCTCATTGCAACGTTGTGTTTACTCATACCGAGTTCTGTCAGAAAGACAGCAGAAGACATCCCGAGCTCCGTCGAGACACATCAACACAATCTGCCTGTAGCGAAAATGTTTCTTCACCGCAGAGAGAGTGTCAGGGATCTATCACGTATACTGTTGCAGAAAAGGGGTTTATGCAGAGTCACCAGCGATCGATCTCAGGAGAGAGACCGTATAAATGTGCCGAATGCGAAAAGAGTTTCACATCATCAAAGAACTTCCGCATTCACCAACGGTCACACACGGGAGAGAAACCGTATAAATGTGCTGATTGTGGAAAAAGTTTCACAACATCAAGCAACCTCTACGTTCACCATCGATTACACACAGGAGAGAAACCGTATAAATGTGCTGGATGTGGAAAGAGTTTCACACAGTCAGGTGCCCTCCTAAGACACAAGCAATCACACACGGGAGAGAGACCGTATAAATGTAGTGAATGTGCGAAGAATTTTACAACATCAGGGGAGCTTAAGGTTCACTATCGATTACACACAGGAGAGAGACCCTATAAGTGTGCAGAATGTGGGCAGACGTTCACACACTCGGGTGCCCTCCAAATTCACCAGCGATTACACACAGGAGAGAGACCGTATAAATGTGGCGAATGTGGTAAGAGTTTTACACAGTCGGGGAACCTCAAGTTACACCATCGATCACATACAGGAGAGAGACCGTATAATTGTGCTGAATGTGGAAAAAGTTTCTCACTGTCAGGGGACCTCAAGGTACACCAACGATCACACACAGGAGAGAAACCGTTTGAATGTGCTGAATGTGGGAAGGGTTTCACGTCATCAAGGAATCTCCAGATACACCAGCGATCACACACCGGAGAGAGACCGTATAAATGTCCTGAATGTGGGAAGAGTTTCACAACATCAGGAAATCTTCAGGTACACCAGCGATCACACACATATGGAGAGAGACCATACAAGTGTACTGAATGTGGAAGGAGTTTCACTATGAAACAGTACCTCCAAACACACCAGAAAGGGCATAGAGGAGAGACTGTATAAATGTCTTGAATGTGGGAATAATTTTGCTGATTCCAAGCAGAAGAATGATCACAAATGCTCTGAAAGATGTCACGACTGGAGGAAAGCTTTCCTGGAGCTGTTCAAAGTTAAAATGAGAAGTTGCTTCGAGATGAAGGAAATAATTTTTTTTTGATACAGCAATATATATATCCATTTGATCGAATGAATACCAGTGATTCTCAGTTAAAAGAACAAATGATAGTTTTCCCCTTTCTCACCTGACCATGTGCTGCAGTCACTAACACACAGCTGTTGTGCACACGTGAGACTATCACCAGAGAAAGCGAAACAGAATTGCACGATGAGAAATCAGAGCCGGTGTGTCCCACTGACACAAGTCATGGCCTCCACTGTTACAGCTCACATCACAGGTTACAGCTCTGGTCTTTTACCAACAGGTTCGGGTATCCTTCCTTGTTCATTACCAACAGAATGGGTCTGAATTGGGTTATTACCCACCAGTTTGCTGTGTGTTTGCTGATTTATATCGTGGGTAATGTATTTTATATCAGCAGAGTATTCTGTGTTTGTAGTTTTATTTCCAGCGCATAGTAGCAGAATGCAATCTGATAGAGATTTCGCTATTATTGTGGATTAATAAAGAAAACAATTTGATGGAAACAATTACTTGGTGTGGTTATTGTCTCACAAGGAATATAACAGTTGGAAATACCTGGAGTGTGAGGAAAGGGCAGGAAGACGGGTTTGCAAGGCACAGGAGGGATAGTGGCGGAGCTTGAGGAGAAGAAGGGAAGATAACTGAGAAGAGTGTCTGTTATATAGTTATGTATGTGTATGTTGATCTGCATGTGTGTGTGTCTGTGTATGTTCGCCCGAGTGTCTGTGTTTCTGTATGTCTGTGTGAGCGCATCTGTTGCTGGTGTTCAGTGGCTGTGGCTGTTATTCAGTGGCTTTGGCTAGTGTTTAGTGGCTGTGGCGGGTGTTTAGTGGCTGTGGCTGGTGTTTAGTGGCTGTGGCTCGTGTTCAGTGGCTGTGGCTGTGTTTAGTGGCTGTGGCCGGTGTTTAGTGGCTGTGGCTGGTGTTTAGTGGCTGTGGCTGGTGTTTAGTGGCTGTGGCTGGTGTTTAGTGGCTGTGGCCGGTGTTTAGTGGCTGTGGCTGGTGTTTAGTGGCTGTGGCTGGTGTTTAGTGGCTGTGGCTGGTGTTTAGTGGCTGTGGCTGGTGTTTAGTGGGTGCGCTGGTGTTTAGTGGCTGTGGCCGGTGTTTAGTGGCTGTGGCTGGTGTTTAGTGGCTGTGGCCGGTGTTTAGTGGCTGTGGCTGGTGTTTAGTGGCTGTGGCTGGTGTTTAGTGGCTGTGGCTCGTGTTTAGTGGCTGTGGCCGGTGTTTAGTGGCTGTGGCTGGTGTTCAGTGGCTGTGGCTGGTGTTTAGTGGCTGTGGCGGGTGTTCAGTGGCTGTGGCGGGTGTTTAGTGGCTGTGGCGGGTGTTTAGTGGCTGTGGCGGGTGTTTAGTGGCTGTGGCGGGTGTTTAGTGGCTGTGGCTCGTGTTCAGTGGCTGTGGCTGGTGTTTAGTGGCTGTGGCTCGTGTTTAGTGGCTGCTGGCTCGTGTTCAGTGGCTGTGGCCGGTGTTTAGTGGCTGTGGCCGGTGTTTAGTGGCTGTGGCTGGTGTTTAGTGGCTGCTGGCTCGTGTTTAGTGGCTGTGGCCGGTGTTTAGTGGCTGTGGCCGGTGTTTAGTGGCTGTGGCTGGTGTTTAGTGGCTGCTGGCTCGTGTTTAGTGGCTGTAGCCGGTGTTTAGTGGCTGTGGCTGGTGTTTAGTGGCTGCCGACTGGTGTTTAGTGGCTGTGGCCGGTGTTTAGTGGCTGTGGCTGGTGTTTAGTGGCTGCGGCCGGTGTTTAGTGGCTGGTGTTTAGTGGCTGTGGCCGGTGTTTAGTGGCTGGTGTTTAGTGGCTGTAGCCGGTGTTTAGTGGCTGTGTCTGGTGTTCAGTGGCTGCGGCTGGTGTGTAGTGGCTGTGGCTCGTGTTCAGTGGCTGCTGGCTGGTATTTTTAATGTGCGCCGAGGTGTGAGTGTTTGCACACGCCCGAGTTTCTGTGTGTCTTTGTATGGAGGGTGTGTGTACGCCGGAGAATGTGTGCCCGCAAGGTTGTGTGCCCATATATAAATAGCACAGAAACTTACGGGCACAGACATACACACCCTCACATACACACCCTCGCACGCACAGACACACACTCAAACACTTGTGCGCACACGTGAACATTCCCTCCATATCCCGCGTGCACACTTTCTCTTTATCCCGTGTGCACACTCCCTCTAACCCCACATGCACACTCTCTGCATCTCGCGTGCACACTCTTTCTATATTCTGCGTGCACACTCTATATCCTGCATGCACGCTCTCTCTATATTCGCGTGCGCACTGTCTTGATATCTCGCATGCACTCTCTATATCTCGCATGCAGACTCTCTTTGTATCTCACGTGCACACTCTCTCTATATCCCGTGTGCACACTCTCTATATCCCGTGTGCACACTCTCTATATCCCGCGTTCGCACTGTCTCTGGATCTCACGTGCACTCTATATCCCACGTGCACACTCTCTATATCCCACGTGCACACTCTCTATATCCCGCGTGCACACTTTCTCTATATCCCGCGTGCACGCTCTCTATATCCCACGTGCACACTGCATCTCGCGTGCACACTTTCTCTATATCCACGTGCACACTCTCTATATCCACATGCACACTCTCTATATCCCACGTGCACACTGTCTCTGCATCTCGCGTGCACACTTTCTCTATATCCCGCGTGCACATTCTCTATATCCCACGTGCACACTCTTCTATATCCCGCGTGCTCACTCTCTCTATATCCCACGTGCACACTGTCTCTGCATCTCGCATGCACACTTTCTCTATATCCGCGTGCACACTCTCTCTATATCCCGTGTGCACACATCTCTATATCCCACGTGCGCACTATCTCTGCATCTCGCGTGCACACTCTATATATCTCGTGTGCACACTCTCTATATCTCGCGTGCACACTCTCTCTATATCCCGTGCACATTCTCTCTATATCCGCGTGCGCACTGTCTCTGCATTTCGCATGCACACTCTATCCCACGTGCACACTGTCTCTGCATCTCGCGTGCACACTTTCTCTATATCCCGCGTGCCACTCTCTGTATCCCACGTGCACACTCTTCTATATCCCGCGTGCACTCTCTCTATATCCCACGTGCACACTGTCTCTGCATCTCGCGTGCACACTTTCTCTATAACCCGCGTACAGACTCTATATCCCACGTGCACACTCTCTCTATATCCCGCGTGCACACTCTCTCTATATCCTGCGTGCACACTCTCTATATCCCACGTGCGCACTATCTCTGCATCTCGCGTGCACAACTCTATATATCTCGCGTGCACACTCTATATCGCGTGCACACTCTCTGTATACTGCGTGCACACTCTCTATATCTCGCGTGCCCACTCTCTATATCCACGTGCACACTCTCTGCCTTTCACGCGTGCACTCTCCTATCTCGTGAGAGAGAGAGAAAGCGCACAAGAGAGAGTAAGCGCGAGAGAGACTGTCAACCGTTTGGAATTACAAACAGCCTTCAGTTTGTGTTGCAATAATAGATTGAATGCATTCGAGAAAAAAAAATTTGGGGGAAAGATAAATCCCATATAAATAATAATAATCCTTGCATTTGATATAGCGTTTTTCACGTCGGGAGGACGTCCAAAAACGCTTCACAGAACACACTGTAAAATGAATTGACTGTATATTTGTGGGCGAACGCGGCAGCCAATTGCGCACAGCAATATCCCACACCAGTCGTAGATTGAAAATGGACCAATTTATTATTGTTTTTTGGTTTTGGAGGATTATTATTAGGCTCTGTGTGGAGTAAGGAAACTTGGCCCAAGGTTTCGCCCTCTGCCTGGGATTGAACTCAGGTCTCTCACTTGCAAAGCGAGTGCTCTAACCACTGAGCTACAGGGCATATAGAGTTTAGAGAGAACCATCACAGCCGCCACTTCACTGACGGTCGCTGACAGTCGACAACACGAAAGTGTTCGGTGCATTCAGATGCTGTTATCACGACGAGAGAGAGAGGACCTTCTGTCTGTGCGTATTTTTTAATATGTATTACCACAAGGCCTCGACGTTGACGGGAAAGAGCTATGTCAGTGTTCGGGAAATCTACACTGGAACTGACACTGCAGTTGAATTCGCAATTTGGGAAGAAAATTCCCCTCCAAAATACACTGAGCTTTTGCAGTAAATCCAATGAAGCAGTTTGAGACGCTCTCGATCGGGCAAAGCAGCTTTGTCACACACAAGGAACCTTCTTCTTATTAAAATAACATTC